TTTTTAAAACTACGAAACAAAAGTGCAGGGAAGCGCCGGCGAGTGCTTGTCACTTTGATTTCACAAATTTCAGTTTCTCTTTTTGTATTTGAGCTGTCTCGGCGCAGCCAAATTTCTACTGGAGCTGAATAGGCATGATTTTTTTCTTTCATAATGCTTTCCTTATTAACGAACTGTTCACGTTACGTAAAGTCAGCGTCGTTGAATAATGACGGGATCACTCTGAGATAACCGCAATAAGCACTCGATGATGGGTTTATGTCACCGCTAAGATGTCACGTCAGCGCCTAATGATGGCGTCGCCGTGTTTCTCTGTGAAGAGTTTAATGCTGCAACATGTGCCAATAATTAGTTATGGCTACTATTATGGCTTCGCAAGATACCTTGTCTCAGTGTGAGATGTTTTACGGTTTACGCGCAATTTAGTAATACAGATGATGTCCGTACCGGTGTTTCTGACCACGAGGAGTGATGTACAGCGAAAGACAACATTTACCATTCTTCCTTCATGACCTTTACACTGTCGCCTTTATAACCGATTCTGTTCGAGACCTGCAAAGTAGTTTTTTATACATGTTCATTCGCTGTCGAGGCCGCGCGCTGAAACATTCGCAATGGAGTCGAACGCAAGAAATCTTTCGTTTTAAGGACCTGCTCTCTGGATTTCAAGCCGACCGGTTGTGCCCCCGCGATCTCCGGCGACAGCGCAGCTCTGGCCGACTGGGCCAGAGCTGCGCCCATCTCCTGACGCCGGCAAGAACTCTCGCCGGGTGGTGCCCCGTCCTGGGACTCCTGCGACCGTGTCCGAATTTTGAATCTTCTCCTTAATTCCATATGTCCCTGCCCCTGCGCCACGCTCTCTCCTTCCCCCTCTCTATATCTCTATACATTTTAACCCTATTCTTTTAATTCCCTCCTTACCCCCACCCCTCGTGAGCTACTGTTGAGGTGTCCTCCCCAAGAGAGACAGTTACGGGGCACACTTTTCTCTTCTTTTAATTTAAGAATCACTCACTCTTTCGTTTTAAAGGCATTTTCTTAGGCTATAATGTCAGTTGCTTGCGCTTGCGTTTCTGTTATTGTACGTTATAGTTCCTCTTCGAGGAAGGGTAGCTATGGACCTTCATAGCTTCTCATATAACCTTGCTTTTAATTGTATAGACAAGGTTGCTCTCTCTCTCTCTCTCTCTCTCTCTCTCTCTCTCTCTCTCTCTATCTATATATATATATATATATATATATATATATATATATATATATATATATATATATATATTCCTGCCCATGGTGCCTGCCCACGGCAAGTTATCTTTTTCTTTTCACCCACATTTCTTTCTTCACATTTACATTACAATTCGGTCTAATAACTTCCCTTATACTTTTCTTGGCATTATTGTCTGTTAGATTTCAATAATATTGTGTCAAACACGGATAAACGAGCCCTAAAGTATACACTTGTTTCCCCCCCCCCACATACATACATACACACACGCACACACACACACACACATATATATATATATATATATATATATATATATATATATATATATATATATATATATATATATATATATATATAATGTGTGTGTAAGGTTATACGTATGAACAATAGCCTTGTTTGTTAATTCTGAGCGTGGTTGTTTACTGTTTATACCGTTTTAGTTGATTCATGCACAACGCGTACGATGTGGTGGCGATTTACCAATGTAGCAGCCCCGTGTATGAGGTGGCCAGGTTTCCCTCAAGCTTTCTTGCCCGGTCATTCTCGCGACCTCGTTGTCGATAAACTCAATTCAACTCAATTCAACGTGTCATGCCAGTGGTTCGACTCACCCCTCTGCAGAAGACCCGCTGCGCGTACGTCATGGTGCTGGTGTTCGTCAACTGGGTGACAAGGACGCTGCCGCTAGGTGTGACTGCCCTGATGCCGCTGCTATACCTGCCGGCGTTGCGCATCATCAGCTACGACCAGGTCGTCGGCATGTACATGAACGTGAGTGCACCGGTCGCCTGCAAGAACCAGTGTTTCATCGTTATATCTCCCCAACAAATCTCACTGCAGCACTTAGGATGCGTCTTGAATTAGCTAACTTTTCTGGTACGCTAGGATACCCAGAAAGCTCTAAAGTTAACAATGGGCAACGGGCATTGTTGGGTGGTGCATGTGTTGAAATTCAGATTCCGCAATCACTGCAGAAGGGGACATATGAGCCGTGTCAACCTTATGACACATTTCGTTACGCTAACTCTCAATATTATTCGTGAATCGACAAATGACTTGTCAGAACCATCTTCCTTTAATGGATGAATAAATTGCTGAATGAATGCGTTGCATATTGATTCAAGAGGCTGATGATTTTCCTTTACTGTGAGCTGAGAGAATTCATCATTATTAGGGTATGTCAACGGGTGAAAATATTGAGGTTTAGAGACAACGAAACTAATCCCCTGTTGGATTATATATTCTCCTCAGTGGTTAAATCCAGAAGAATTAAAAATCACCTGAGGGGACGCACATCTTGCCATGGCGACCACATTGTTTACCTAACTATATTATTTTCACTCATGGAAACATAAAATCATACCATATAATCAACTTCACAAAAAAAACATGGCTTTCGAACTCGCGCAAGTGCTTTGTTTTATTGGGTTTTCTCTGATACCAATGGAGTGGCAATTGCTTTGCAGTAATTTTACACAGCTGATAGGTATTAACACCGGTGTACCAGTAAAACCGGTAAAAGTAGAACAGGCATTAAACAGCCAGTCAACAGGCTCCGATTTTTTTTTTTTACACCTCCGAACAAGCTCGCGCATCTTTTGTACGCCTGACGAACTTCCTCCCACGCCCAGTGACGTTCGCTAGGCGATCGGTGACGTTGACTTCACTACTGTTTGTTGAGACCTGGTTCAGACCAATCGACGAGCTGCGTGCTGTGTTACGTCACCGATCGCCGAGTTGACGTCACTTCTGCGTGGATGGAGGTTGGTCAGGCGTAGGAAAGATGCGCGAGCTTGTTTGAAGGGCGTAAAAAAAAAACGTCGTAGACTGTTGACGGGCCCTTTAAGAATGGTGAACGCATTATACTTAACTGTCAAGACATTAACCCTTTATTGACGAACGTTGCCCACAGGCAACATAGCGGAAAATATTTTTTTTTGATCACTTTCGGTTTCGCGAGCTTCTTTTTCCCTCCAAAGTCTCCCCATGTTACTGCCACATGGATGTGTGGCGCTCTCTGATTTGTAACTAAGAAACCGACGAAGAGAAAAAAGAAGTTTGGCGCGCAAATCTCTGCAGAGCGCTCTACGACGCGACTTCAGCGTTTGAACATCTATTTCCGGGTAAGCATTCGTTGTTCTCTCTCTGGCTTTTTGCAATGACTTAGAAAAATGCCTCACTTTCCTCGTTGTCAAATTATATAAACGGCGCTGCTAATTTGGGCCCGTACGGGCGCGTGAGGTGTTTGTTGCCTACAAGCAACACGAGGCACAATGCTGTGTTTCTCATCCCGCTAAGGTTGCGCTGTGCAATTTTGTCTGGTAGCGCGCTCCTCTGCCTGCACTGCTTCCATTATCGCTGCACCACCTCACGCAGGACACGCAGGCAAAGCAACGATTTCGAAGAATGGACCCGGGTGCATTTTATGGAAAATTTGCTGCAAAAGTGCCCCCCGACTACAGTGATGACTCTGACCTGGATTCATCGAGCGACGAAGAGCCTGAAAACGCTGTTTTAGCCCGGACAAGTAAGTATTTATTTTGTCGTGTCAGTCGGAACTACGCTATCATTCGATTGACGAATAAAGTACGGTCTCTTGCATAATAAAGCGCAGCGGAATGAGGTGAAGGAAGGGGTTGCTTGTATTACAAAAGGATGTGTGGCCCGGCGCTTTCACTTGAGGCTGTCGGCATCTCTCACAGCAGACGCTTCTAGGTGTTCCCAAGTTCGGCAGCTCTGCGTGGGACGCGGATAGTCTGGCATTCCGTTTACGCTTTGCAGCAGGCTGGCTCGGTGTATTTCAAACAGTGTCATTGTTTAGGCCAGCTAGCAAAACAGTATTTCCGCAACTTTTTTCTTTAGCAGAAAATAGATTTTGCTGAACACAGAGAGCACTGATGAAATTTACGAGAGTAATTACTATTTTTAATTTTGTTGGCTTTTTCTTGCACTTTGTTGACATCGCAATCATTTTCTGTGCAATTTTTACAGCACCTCCAGCTGACAGTGAGGATGAAGAGGTCTCAGGAGCTCCAAGCGCGGGCAGTATCGACAATGCGCTTGAAGAAATCCCCAAGTTTTCGAAGGATTCTCCCACATGGAAGGCTGTCCGAGGCTCCTCGAGTAATGCCATGCCTGAGTGGAAAGACGTACCACCCTACCCATCCCCGGTGGAGTCTCCCATCACCTATTTCAGAAACTTCTTTGACGTGACATTCCTGTCTCACATCTGTGAGCAGTCCTCCCTGTATAGCGCTCAGAGGAATCCCAACAAAGTTACTTCAATGACAGTCAATGATTTAGAGCAGTTCATCGGTACAGTGCTCACTATGTCGCTTATGAAGCTGCCTCAAACACGCATGTACTGGTCGCAGAGGTTCCGAGTCAGTCAAGTCGCCGACACCATGACGAGAGACAGGTGGGAAGAAATCAAGCAGTCACTGCATTTTAGTGACAACCAGGAAGCACCAGACCAGAATGACCCCGAACTTGACAGGCTTTACAAAGTGCGGCCCCTGTTTGACCACCTGGTCGCCAAATGCCACGAGATACCAAAATCTCAAAAGCTATGCGTTGATGAGCAGCTGGTGCCGTTCAAAGGCCGCAGCTCATTGAAGCAGTATTTGCCCAACAAGCTCAAAAAAATGGGGTTATAAGCTTTTCCTTCTCTGCGATGAACGCGGCATTATGTACAACTTTGAAGTTTACACAGGCAAAATTTTTTCCTCAGCAAGGTTTTCCCGACATCGGCGCAAGTGGCAACATCGTCCTGCGAATGGCGAGTATCGTGCCCCGCGGTCTAGACTACATCTTGTATTTTGACAACTGGTTTTGCGGCGTGGACTTACAAGTAGTCCTCAAGAAGGTTGGAATCAGTTCCGTAGGAACAGTACGCGAGGCTCGCCTAAAAGGATGCAAACTTCCATCCGACAAAGATCTGAAGAAGAAAGGGCGTGGCTCTTACATGGAAATGGCGACCACATTTGAAGGGGTGAGCCTGAGGGCTGTCAAGTGGTTTGACAACCGCCCCGTGACTTTACTGTCCACGTTTGCTTCAGCGTCACCCGAGCAGGCCGTGAAGCGCTTCGACAAGAAGACCCGAACGACTGTGAGCATACCCCGCCCTGCTATTGTCGGCATCTACAATGAATGTATGGGAGGTGTTGATCTTTTGGACATGCTTGTGGCACTCTACCGCATCCACGTAAGGTCAAAAAAGTGGTACAGGAGGCTCTTTTTTTCATTTATTGGATGTAGTAGTTGTCAACTGCTGGCTCCTCTACCGCCGAGATGCCACCGCGGCTAACGTGCCTTGCAAGCACCAAATGACCCTGCTAACATTCAAAGAAGACATTGCCTGCGCGCTGAGGCAACAGGGAAAGGTATCAACCCCTTCGAGGAAGCGACCATTGGGCCCATCAAAAGTCGAGAATGAATTGCAGGCGAAGAAGCGGCGCGGGCCATCAGCTCCTGTTCCATGCAAAAAGATAAGGCTCGACACTATCGACCATCTCCCGATGTTTTCTGCAAAAAAAGGCCGTTGTAAATACCCACACTGCACAGGAATCACGCGAGTCATGTGCAGGAAGTGCAACGTACACCTTTGTTTCACTCCAGGGAAGGAGTGCATGCACAAATTCCACACTAACCCGTAAGAAGCACACAGTGAAGCCTACCTTATGGCTCGTGCCTACTGTTGCCCACAGGCAACAAAGCTGTATTTTAGAAACTATACGCAGAATTTTTTTCTTTTTATGAAATATGCTTAGTATTGTTGCAACAATTGTAAATATGTAGAAAATAAATGTTTTTTGCAAGTATTTTATTGTCTCGTCAATAAAGGGTTAAGATATACGAAGTTTTAAAAAGAAATTTCAAAGGGGGGTCCTCCCCACCTGAGCACAGAGGTAGTCAGCACCCCACTAACCTACTATTATTTACACCACTGATACTATAAACTAGCTATTTCACTGAATATATTTTTTTGAAATCCACGGCACCAAACGAATTAATTGGCAGATGTAGGATGGAACGCTTCCAGGAACGTATACGTGAGTCATATAAACACAAGTTTGACAGTTCTGAGCTGACGAGCACGCTGCATAAACTGGGCGTTCACGATCACGTGTGCCGAAATTTGCAACGCCATGCAAATGGGTCAAGTTTCAAGTCGAACGCTGCTTGCCCTTCTTGCGCGCCCAGAGAATGAGGGGCTGATGTGCACGATGGTATATTGGTAGTGCAGTGACGTTGCTCCTCTTCGTAAACAGCGCGTTAATTATTTGACGCGATGTGTATGTAGACTATGTAAATTGTTGCTCGAATAGATTAATGAGACTTGAGAGCAATAAAAAAAAAGTTCAGCCGATCCCGCGTACCTTGGGAATCGATGTGAAGCATGCGAATGAAAGGTGACTGTGTTGCATTTTTTTTATTGAGTGAAACGTTACGATGTGGCACTAAAGATATGTATGCACAAACACACGTTAAACAGCTGCCTGTGTTTTATATAACCAGTTGTCTAGAGTTGCGTAACGAGCATAACAGCAGCATGAATTTTAGCAACACCAGAAGCGGTAGGCTGATATGAGGTGCCGATGCTTGCAAGAAAGGTAGCCCTGCATACTCCTACATAAATCAACTTCAGCGGATGCCACTTAACTACAATTGACGTTAAGCGGACGTGACTGCTGTATCGTAGGAGTGCGTATGTAATGTTTATAAAATTGTATGGCCAGCGCTACAAGCAGGATTGACGTTTCACGAACATTAGGGTCCGTTGGAAAAGTATTTCCAACACCTTGCGTGGCTCTGAGGTAGAATACTCGATTCCACGAAGAACGCTATAGGGTTTGATTTTTAATAGGACCTTACATTTATTCTCTGCATTTGTCGAGTCAGCGTGGCTCCTCACAGTGTTTTCTTAACACTCATGCGTTATTAATGAGGTCTGTTCACACCATTCCTGAGTAGATATAAAATGTCAATCACTTGTGGCACCTATACCCGCGCATATCTGTGGAGAATATCCGCCCGCGGGTGTGTTACACGTCTGGCGAAAAGGGTTTGACGAAGTACGCCACGGAATTGTGACATTATTTATGTCATGACCCACCAGTCATACTCCTGGCATATTCGACAAACCATCTTACGCTCCCGTGCTAACTTTGGTTCACTCCAAATTAACGTGGTGATCATGAGGGCAACCAGACGTAGGCGGCTAGATGAACAGATAGACAGATAGGCGCAAAAAATGCGTGCAGTGCGCAAAGAAATGCTACGCATTTAAAGCACCAACTTAATGTGTGCGTTTTATTTTTTAAATTTTTACTGCAAATCACCGCAATACGTGAGACTAATCTGCCTCCTTTTTGCGCGCGTTCGTATTCTCGCGCTTTGCACATCGTGCAAACACAGCCCCTCATAACCAAACTGATTTCCTATCGCCTTACAGTGCTCATTCTACGTCAAGAAAATTTTCACAGTGGACAAGCACTGTCCGTGTCAGATCCCTTTCGTGCATTTGTGTTTTATTCCGTGCTGTGTAAATTTTGCTCGACGATGAACTAACTACCAGCTCGCCCAAACACGCACATCAATCGCTCATTCTCATCTACCCTCCCGCGTCTAGCTAAATATAGATGCGGACCTGGCTGACGGTAACGCTAGTCTCGCATTCGTATAGAAACGTCAATGCTCAGTAATGGGTCTAAAGCCGAGCGATCGGCGAGGGCGCATTGGGCATAGCTTGCAGAGATGATGCGCGGGGAACTATATACGGCACACTGGCCACAACACCACTTGCGTCTCGGAGCTCGGGCTGGTTCAGGCACGTCATGCGCTCGTGACCTTCTGTGCACATGACATTTTCATGGGACGTGTGATGCGTATGCGACATGTGATCCTCCCGCTCGCCAGCCGAATAGGTGTGAAGAGGGCAGGGAAGGGATTTAGCTTGGGAAGGCTACACAGAGCGGGCGCCGGCAATGGCTTAAAGCTCGCCTCCTCACATCAGGGTTTCGCGCCGCTTCAAAGCACTGGTTTTCTCAACTTCTAGGGGACCGATAAAAGATAATATTGTGGCCTAATGCTCTTTATTGGGTGCGAAACAACTTCTAGCGTCTAGATAAAGCTCGTTATGTCACCTGAGGAGGAGCTCTTTAATGTCATCACGGATCCCCTGGTGGGCTATTCCAAGGATGGTCATCTTTTGAGGCGTTCTAGGCCCATAGACAAACAGTGCCGGTTCATCTCATGTACAACATTCTCTTTTTAACTTTCTTAAAGGCAGTTTCATTTAAAAATGTTTAGTGTTGTGTTTTGTACACGTTATATGTCGGTCATGCTCTGTGTTTATCGCTTCATCGTCATATGCTTACTAAACCACATTTTAAGCATAATGGCAGATAAGACGCTTAAGTATGTATTAAGGACCTATTAGGGCCCTCCTTACTTCCTCCTTGCGCCGCTGAAGTGGGTTTCAAGTACAACATACATTTACTTTACACTAACAACATGCAGACTTAATGTATTAGCCACCTGTACATCCGTACCACCAAACCATCTGTACCGCCAATCGTAGAAAACGGCTTTCCTGACGCACGCTGGCGGCCATGATAATGTCGGTCACATTCGAAAAGACCAATTTGCATTCCCTCTGGGTCCTCCTTACTTCCTCCCTGCGCCGCTAAGATGTGTTTTTAAGTACACATTCACTCTACACTAAGAAAAGCGTAGACTTAATGTACAAGCAATCTGTACCGGCAATCGCAGAACACGGTTCTCCTGACGCTGGCAGCCATCATGATGTCGATCGCGATCGAGACGACGAACCTGCACAAGCGCATCGCGCTCTGGGTGCTGCTTCAGTGCGGCCAGTCTCTGCGCAACATCATGGCCGGCTACACGGTCGCCACGTTCCTCATCACGCTGCTGCTCAAGAACAGCGCCACGGCGGACATCATGGTGCCCGTTGTGGACGCCACCGTGCACGAGATACACTACATCTACATGAAGGACATGTACACGCAGTGCTTCGGGGCGGACGCCAAGAAGAGGCCGTCGGTCTCCTGTAAGGCGGGTCGGGAGCTGGGAGACGCAGCCAGACATTTTTCTTGCAGTGTGTGTGTGTGTGTGTGCGTGTGTGTAGGGGGGTTGATTTCCCGTGTATGTATGCTTGTGCGTCGGTCCGTATGTGTGCGTGCATATATACAAAAATTTGAGAGACGATTGAACCGCCCCCCCCCCCCCCCCCCAGTCCATGGCTACGCTACTGGTTGAGGGCATTGCTCTTTTTCAATGCGAATAATTCAATGGGACAACTTGTGTTTAAGAAGCAGTTCCTGGCTCAGATCAGAAAAAAAGCGTATTCCCAGCTAAAGTAGAGGAAAAAAAATAATATCCGGTGCTATTAAACAGGACACAATAAATGCCATACGTAACAATGGACAAAACTAAATATCCATTGTGGCATTGTTGACAGAGAAGCTCCGTGATGACCTTTTCAAGCGTGAGGGAAGAATAAGAGTCCCAAGACATAAAATGCTCAAAAATATATGAAAGTGGGTTGTACGAGTCTTGGCTAACGTCTGTCTAGCGCTGTCTAGGGCCGGCTTCTGTTTAGTATCTACTCTTTAAGCAATGCAATGCAATAGGATGTATATACTAACATGCACAAGTCTTACTCCTTCAAATGCTCCGCGCACTACTAGAGTTTCTGGAAATAACTGCAATTGTTTTTCTCCACATGACAGAAGTTTAATAATGAAAGTTCACTTCCGGCTTTGTGAAGCTGCTTTGTGTGAAGCAAACAGTTGATATCATATAGCAGTGATTAATTTAGAGCGTGATTATATTATTTGCAATACATAATGGGGTTTGAGTACAAAAGCTACCGAATTCATGGTGATAGATTAATTACACGATGTGATTAACTTCACCAGTTTTATACCGCAAATGATCGCAGTGATGGCACGCAAACAAGCTTATAGGCACCTATAGAATATCTAGCACGACGTTGCATATTTATCGTTTGGTTGTTTTTCCCCCTCTACAACCAGATAACTCCCACAGTAAAAATCTGGGCTGGGAATCTAGTTTAACATAAAAAAAATGGAGGACAAGATCATACAGACTGTAGGCATACTCAACCTCGACGATAACCGTGCTACTAGGTTCATTCATTCTTCGTATTCGTATAATATTAGTGTATCATCCCTAAAAAAAAAAAATCCGCTCTTTTAAACCTTGACGTTCGCCGTCGCATTTCCAGCCTCTGCCTGTTTCAGAAAATTTTTTACAGCCCATTCCGTCATCCCTACATTGTTCCACCAGCCCGCATATCTTACCGCACTAGACATCCACTTTAAGTTGCCCGTCCACGCATTAGAACGACCACTTTTTCTATGTCCTTTTTTTTTGTACGGACTGCAAACGACTGGAATGATCTTCCCCACGACGTTGTGGCCGTTTCCTGTCCATCAACATTTTCATTTTTCGACCAACTGTCTGCACGTCTTTCGCAATAAAAACCCGTGTCAATAAAAAAAAATAACAGAACTTTATTTGTTAACCCACCCCTTATGTAATACCCCCTCGGGGGTCTTTAAGGAAATAAAGTGAAGTGAAGATGCGATAATACCTTATCTTAAAATACCGTACGAAAAAAAATATTGTGGACCATCTGCCCGAAGGAAACCCTACGAAGCAGCAGTGGTGCGCACGTCGCTGACCCGGCGTTTGAAACGGGCATCGACGCGGGTGCTGAAAAATGGTTTTAAGTAAAACTCGGCGTAGCCGTTACTCGAGGAAACGTTTCTTTGATACTCAAAGACACAGGAGGCGCGTTGGGTTTCGTGTAAGTTTCGTCGCAGATAAACGAGATGAAAGAGTGTTTCCTCTCGACGTGCGGTGGAGTGTTGCTGGTGGTGGAGAGGGTAAAGCGAGAGAGAAGTGTGTTGCAAGCGGTCGGAGTAAAACCGGTCGGAGTAAATATTTTTTAGGCACTGCGCCGTGCTCCCGACCGGGTTGCAGAAATTAGGTGCCTTTTCTCATCTTCTAACCACTACCACCACCACATTCGAAAAAGTACAACCTTCTTTTGCTCTGCGCCGCTTCCTCCTCTCCCCGTCGGAGCTTTTTGTCTCTCCTGGTGGATGCGGCGAAGAACCGGTTTTCGCCGCTCGGCGCCATGTTGGATGCACCAAAGCGCCACTGTGTTGCTTGTTCGCCGCATGCAAAGCGCAGGACGTTGTAGAAGTGAAGTGAAATGAACTTTATCTGGTCCCGGAGAACTGGTCAGGCACCCCCCTAAGAGGTGTCCGCCGCAGTTGCTGGCCGTGACCACGCCGGGACTGGAAGACCATGGCGCCCGTTCGCAGGCCTCCTGGACTGCCGAGTATTGGACTGAGAGTTCGGGGCTTTTAAGAGCCCTCTCCCAGTCTTATTCTGTGCTGAACTTTGCGCCATGTAACAGAGCATTTCTCTCAAAAGGTGGTTAATGTTTCGAATTTCATGATTATCGCGGCTATTATAAAGCGCAGCCCGTGTCTGCAACAGCGTCCAGGTCACGTATGCTTCTTATAAAATGAATCGCTGGCACTTTCAAAAAAAAGTGATTTGTTGCAATACATATGACGATGTGCTGAACTTTTTCATTGCTTTGAGGTGATGCTGTGCGTTGAGTTCAGAGAATACATCGCTAGAATTGGGCGAGCGGTAATTTCGACAGTAATGACGTGACTGCGTTTTTTGACCTCTACGTCACAGCACCATCTTGGCCATCCAGCAGTTCGAAATAGTTTCCGTGCACTGGAATGACTTTTATCACCTACATAATCTGCAACGCCCATAAAGACATGTAAAACCTCGAGACAATGGTTGGAAATTGCGCCGCAGAGGACAAACATCTCAGAAGGGCGTTCTGCGTGTACGTGTCATTGGACAGGCAGAGGAGAGGTAGCACGTGAAATGTCCCGAAGTTCTGAGCGAGCACTTTCATGGAAATTGTTCACATTGCTGCAGTTATAAAATATCGAGATAGTTTGTAGGGAACTGTTCCTTCCAAAACATCGTGGCTTAAGACACCGCAGCTGCGATTTAAGCATTTCTTACCGGTTCAATAATTAGCGTGCCGAGTTTACTGAATTTAATTTCAACCTGTTCTGAATAAACCGAGTTTTGTATATCAGCGCTAGATACACAAGGAAACGCTACGGCGTGAAAAGTAGTTTAAACGGCGTGCGATTCGCTACAACTTGTGCATGATTTGCAGCAGCTCTGAGTCTGTCGTAATATTGATGCTGAGCGCACCCAGTCTCGCTGAGATAATCAATGCAGAAAAATCATTACATAGAGCCGTATGCGAGGCACGGCACACGGCCCAGACTGTACAGAAGCGGCTGTAACTAATGCAGCAGCAGCGGCGCGGCACTAGCTCGAAAGGAAACTTCAAGCTCGTGGCGCACTACAGGGGGTGCCACTGTCGCAAGCGAAAGAAAAAAAAAGCAACTCACCGGAGAGGAGGCGGCGAGGGGGAGGGGGAGTGCGGGCGCTGCGGCGAGCATGCTGCGGATGAGGGAGAGGGACATCCGCACGCAACTGCGAGAGAGCCGTGCGAGGGAAGCGTGACACCATAGTCGGGACTATGGTGACGTCAACGCGCAGAGCAGCTCGGCGTCAGAAGATCGCGGAGGGCGAACCAGTCGGCGAGAGCTATGCGGCGTCGGAATTTGCGGGCGGCACAACCTTTCAGCTTGAAATTCTCCGAGCAACTATTGGCTTGATGGAAGAAACCAGACGCGTAGTTAGACATTTTTTTTGAGGGTGGTGGAACACGCATAATGGTACTTTTTATGTTTATGCGTGTGTTTGTATGTTGCGTGTACATATACGCAAACAAAACTTGCTCGCGAGAAAAGATGGCTACTCTTATGGCTACTCTTATGACTACTCTTATGACAGAAACACTACATTCAACTTTAATTTCGAAAGACCGTGAGGAATTAGGTTTATGTCGGCGATGTGCCGTGTCGTGTTTTAACGTATACAATATTGTTACCAAAGCGTACAGACAACTCACCTTCAATGTTGACATTTAAGTATCGAGCTTATACAATCAACGCTAGCACGCACAATAATGTGTGTGTGACGTATATTTACCGACGCCTATTATTATTATCTTTTTATCTGGATGAATACATGTATATTTTGTTACCGCTTTGATATAACTTATGTATATATTGTTGAATTGGTCCGTAGGATACAATAAAAATAGGCTTTTAAGAGCTTTGAGTCTACCTAGGATCTGTAGTGCACCTTCCTGCTCATGGTTTAAGGCACTTTCTTCTTACGTGGCGCAGACATTGCCAACGCTCTCAAGTTGGACGACATTAGTATGCGACAAATAACGACGTGAGTACTTGTTCACCGTTAAAATACAGTTACGCATTCAGTGTAATCTAGCTTGGAAGAAAAAAAAAACTAAGCGATAGGTACGAAGGTACATTTATCGCAGAGAGACCCGCAACAACTTGAAGTAACGCATGTATTCGTTGGATACAACTGTTGTTTAGAGTTGAAAACACGCTCGATTGTTTAAATTGAACGCTTGTTAAAATGCTTGTTGAAATGCCAACGCGGAATCAATTTTGGAAAATAAATCACGTGATGACGTCATCATAAGATGTGAGAAATAACTAAAATTTGTGATATCCTTGTGACTTCATGGTAATGTTACTGTGACGTAACACCACGTCACGTCTTCATATGACATCTTAGCTTGGTCGAATACAGCCCGATCACATAGGCAACGTAAAACCAGGTGAGGTGAAGGCTTTCGAAGGGTGCAATGCACGATCATATATCTAGGCTGCCTTGATTGCATACGTTAAATACATACCCTGAAAATCAAAACTAGCAGTTGTTCCGCGTACGAAAGCAACTGATAAGTGAAGGTCCCTAGGAATGGGACGTAAACGAGTGTGTATCTGATCTCGCTGCTGACTTTCATGAAGGCGGTATAGGGTGGGGAAACGTATTAGGACCAGTATAGAGTTTCGCAGCTCCGCTCGCGAGCCAGCAAACGCGGCTGACTTGTGGACACTGTGGTTCCACCTGGCTTCCCTTGCTGTGTCCCGCGGGATGGGATACGGCAGCTCATTGTTACTCTCGATGGCTCGTTACCGAAGTCAATCGCTGAGGCGCGCACATGTCGCAGCGAGCTGAGACGCATGAGGAGTAGCGCCGCTTGTGACGCACTGCGCATTTCTAGAGCTCGCCTTCTCCGTACTCCATGCGTAATTTACGAAGGCATGATGCAAGATGGAACTGCAGCTTCGCTAGTTCTTGCGTCGGCCGTCACGTCCACTTCGGAGAGGAAGCGTTTAATGAGGGCGGTAGGGTGGGGAGATCGTCTGCTGCCATCAGTGGTGGGAAGGACTGAGGCGCACGCAGGGCAGCGCAAGCCTGCCCACGGAAAAGAGCAGATACGAAGAATGATATCGAGGCTAGAGAGGTGGGAGAGGGGTGCGAGCGGTGATGTGACGGAGAGCTTCGACGGCGGTGACGGTGCGGGCCTAAAGAGCTCCGCTCATAAATATTGCAGAAATCGAGCATGATGAAAAAGAATGCATGATCATTGCGAAACTTTCTCACCGTCCATCTTTGATGTCCGTGCTGTTCTGCGTTGCCGTTGCTGTCTACGTTTTGACTGTCGAATTGATACGACTACACGTGGAGAGGAACAAGGAACGGAACATTCACGCACATGTTCCTCTGTGCATCTACATAGTTCGCGTTTCCTCCGTCAGCAGCACAAGCGCTGCCATTCTGCATTTCTACGCAATGGCTCTGTAACCATGGCTGCCAGCACCATTGTTTGAGATGTATAATTATTCTAGAAAGCATGTTCAGCCAAGTGGGCGGGGAATCTGGCTTCTGGGTGTAAGGTACGAAGATTGCGGCCAGGAAAGTTTCTTTCCCTTTGCCAATTTCAAAATGGTCGCAAAGGTCGAGGGTTCGAGCTCCTGCTCACTTGGTATGTCGCGGGTTCAAGTCGTTACCTACCGTACGTCTGCAGTGTTCTCCTTATAGTACAACTCCATGAATTCCTATGGGGAAAGATGTGGCGTTTCGTTGTATACTTGCTGGGATTGTCACCTTAGTATACATGCCTATCAAAAACCCAGTCGCGCATTGAAGAAACTCTGACCTCCCGCAAAAAAACAAAAACAAACAAACAAAAAAAAAACAAAAAACAATGACACCAGGAAATGACATGCGAAGAGATTAATGAACAGAAGTATAGATAACCGGGCATATAAAAGTAATACAATAATGACAGGTGAAACAAAACGTAAATCTAACAATTATAAGCACAGCAGAAGTAAATCACAGTGATTTTCTTCCAATTTTTCTCACAAAAGTTTTTGATAAAGGAACTACACGTTGCATTGCTTGCAGACCATAGTTTATGCGTAATTGCCTGCCATTTCTCACAGAGCAGCCGTCTTTCTTTCGACGGACCGTTTTGCTTATGGGCTTTGCTGCGCCTCTGCACTGCTACTCTAGAAATATTCAAAATGGACATCTGACTTTTTCATAAAGTTCAACTCCTCTTTAAAGAAGTGGTTTTTATGGTTTAAAATTTACATGAATTAAGGTGGTTGCTAACAATTGCCAAGTTAGATTAGAAGAGTTGTTCCTTGGGCGATTTAGTTGTTCATACTTTGTTGGGTTTAGTCAAGATAGATAAAAGGAATGCGTTGAGAAACTGTCGGGAAGGGAACGTTGTTGGAGCCAACATTCGGACTAAAGCACAACGAATGCATATTCATTAGTCCAAACGTTGGCTGCAGCAACACTCCTTTTCCGATGGTTTCTCAATCTATGTGAACTCGTTCACGGCTTAATTTTTGTCAACAAGGCCCATGGAATGGCCGCATGTTCTCCCACAGTAAAGTACCAAGTACTCTAAGTCTTTAACAACTTTTTTCCAAACACAACTTCTCACCGCGCTTAGACCTTAGAACGCGAAGGCTGACGTGCATTATGTTTCCTTGAGTGCCCTACTTCGTCCGTACGAATCGAATACACAGTAAAGAAAAAAAAACATAAAAGGTGCTATCTGTAGTTTTTAACTAATGTATTACGATATGAAAGAAGAACGAATTAAGGTAGGCGAGGTAACTCTCTGCTGGTTGGATGGATGGATGAAAAACTTTTATTGGGGTCCTGAAGGATTCCACCCCCGTTTTATAGGGGTAGAATCGCGGGCCGCTCCCACGTTGGGACGGGGAGGCCCAGCCTCACCGCCGCATCGTGGGCCTTCTCTGCTGGTGGTGAAAAAAAATTTACGAACTTCGCCTTACGTTACGATGCTCTATCAGCTGAGCTACGCCTCTACATCGTACACTTTCTTGGTTGGTTCTGTGAGTGTAACTCTGCCAGTGGGCCACTACTGGCTATGAAGGCAGAGCAGTCACTTCGACGGGCTACGTTTGATATTCTCGCGCTTCCCTATTTTCGCGTGCTAGGTGAGGCGATCGTATCGAACGAAACGTTGTGCCCTGGTCGCGTCGTGTGCGCGCAGGAGGTTCATCAAGATCCGCAAGGTATTGCTCATCATGGTGGCCTACACAGCCAGCCTCGGCTCAGTGGGTACTCTAAGCGGTACCATCACAAACTACGTCACCAAGATGATCGTCACCTCGTGAGTACCAAACCCACGTGCATGACCACATTCTGTGGTACACGTATCGAAGTTCTCGTAGGGCACTGAATATATGGACTGAATCTACGCTGCGGCATTCAAAGTACCCAATAGTAACTATACGCGCACTGATGCTCAACCTATTACTGCTTTGAAATTGTGATGACCGAAGATGGCTCGGACAGCGGTTGTTAGCAGACTAAGGCTCGTACTCATATAAAAACCGTATCTTTATCTTATTGTCGATAGCGTTAAAAATAATATCTGGGGTTTCACGTCCCCAAAACCACGGCATGATTATGAGAGACAACGTAGTGGAGGGCTCCAGAAATTGCGACCACCTGGTGATCTTTAAGGCGCACTGGCATCGCATGGTACGTGGGCCTCAAGCACTTCACATTTACCGAAATGCGACTGCCTCGACCGGGATCGAACTTGCAACCTCAGCGTCAGCAGCCGAACACCATAACGGCTGATTCATCACGGCGGGCTGTCATATGTTTTCTGAAATTTATGTGCTCTCTACGAGCTTCATAAGAACGCCGAAATAAATGCAGAGTAAAAAGATAACTACGTGTTTTATTTAGTAATAATTACGTTCTGTGTTAATCAATCGCACTAAGTGTACAAAACAGACAGGGAAAATTAAAACGTGAGATGAGGGTGAGGTTATTTTATGAATACGAATGTTAAAGCTTGAACAAAAGTGTTGTCTTCAAGTGCACCAAGCTCTACTTGGTAATGTCTTTTCATTTTATGGTACTACTTCCATCTGTTATTAACGTACTGGTTTGGGGTTAAATAACAAAATACATTGTCATCGTGCGTAAGCAAGGCGTGTAAACACGGTTACAAACAGAAGAGAACGAGCAGTATTCATTAAGTGGTTATCCCCTCTATAGTGTGCCTGTTCGTATGCTTTAATTTGAACACTCTGAATAATTAATAACTAGTTCAAATTTCTGTCGTTTAAATATAGTATACTTTGTGTTTTCATGTAGATAAATGCATTTAGATATTGTCAAACTGCAGGTACCCTGAACAGTTGGTCAACTTTGGGATCTGTCTGTGTGTAACCAACACTTGAAACCTTATTTTGGGCATTCAATTGAAATCAGAACTACAACTCAAGGCTTTTCAATGGATCTAGACAAATTAGCCAGACCACATTTGAATTCAACTTCAGGGATCGCATTACTGAAACATAACACCTGCTGTACCCACCGCAAAGCACAATCGTTTGGAATGACTTATTATGTATTGTTTTTCCCATAATTTGTCCTACTTTGATTCACTTGTTTTGTATTTACGTTCACTCGTAATGCTTTATTTGCCACTTGTATAACCTTTACTTTTCGAAAAATTCTATCATTGTTACTCGTTTTCCAGTTTTCTTGCCCAATGTTTATAATGCTTTTATATTGCCACTCTTGCTCGGGCCCCGAGGCCTCCAGTATTTCTATAAATAAATAAATAAATAAATAAATAAATAAATAAATAAATAAATAAATAAATAAATAAATAAATAAATAATAAATAAATAAATAAATAAATAAATAAATAAATACCAGAGACTGTTAAACATGCCTTACAGCGTGCTATATATTTATACGTGTTCAGCCGGTGAGTGTACGCGCAAGAGCCGCAAAGATCGCCTTCAGTTGACCTTGACGAAACCATGTCTCTGTCCCGTCTAGGATAACTAATCGATGCGAATTGACTTCAACGAAGGCCGGCTGATCTTACAAAGCAGAAGTGCTACACGCGAGTCCGGTATCAATAATAGTGTTGGTAGCTAGGCACCATCAGAGTGGTTGATCAATCACTATAAATCGAAGCGGCTATTTCACGCTAAACTACAGAAAACATAAGCGAATTCGAGCCCTGTCTTTTGCTTCGTAGTCGATTTCCCAGAGTCGACTCGGTCACGTTTCTCTCGTGGGCGACGGCCTTTCTACCGGTTGCCTTCCTCGAAGTCCTGATGGCGTTCATCGTGCTCTACTTTATGCATATGAGACGACTGTGAGTGTTTTCTCTACTTCTTTATTTTTCTTTAAAATTAAATTCAACAAGCGACACAGCGAAAAAAAAATGACAGCATATCTATGGGGTGAATGACGGAGAGTAGAGCGAAGCTGGGTCCGCACGCCGCTGCCGCGCCGCTTCGGCCTCCCGTTCTCGTACGCCGGGACCTTGACGGCGCCACCGCGCAGTTTCACGGCACGCTTCTGCCTCGCGAGCTCGCACATCGGGGTTCCGTCTTCGAGCGCGAGCCGCGGCCACCTTGCGCGCACGCCGCTCTGTAGCCTTGTCCATCCGCCGACCTTGTGGAGAAGCGCGTGCGCCAAAACGGCTTTTATTTTACTACACCGCGCCCCTTAGCGTACGGCGCCACCGACGAACACGCGGTCGCCAACGTCTTCGTGTAACGTCATTCCTATTTTCTCGCGCCATCGGGGTTCCGTCTTCGAGCGCGAGCCGCCTAACCTAACCTAACCTAAGCTGCTGTGATTTTTATTATTTATCGGCAAACCGGGAATCAACCGCTGGCCGCGTCCGTCCGTCGTCTGTCTGTCTGTTTGACGCACGCACGGACGGATGCATGGACGAACACAGGGATGGACGCAGGGACGTACGGATGGGCGCAAGGACAGATGCACGAATGGACGGACGCACGGCTGAACGGATGGACGCACGGGCGGAAGGATGGACGCACAGATGGACGGAAGCACGGACGGAATGACGAACGCTTCGCCCAACTGATCATCATTCACTCCAAGGATATGCTGGGATTTTTATTATTTATCATACTGCAAGTCCTCTAGTATCGTACCATTTGCATTTTCAGCGTATATGAATTTTGTTATATGTACAAGTACCGCCCTCTACGGCCGGTTCAAGGACTAACGAGATGTGGCTAGATATGATTACGACGGGACGCTCATGCATCTCACGTCTTAAGGTGCTTCGATCCTAAAAGGTAGTCAAATCCGCCTATTATTAGCGGGAAAAGCAACTCTGCTCAGAATATTAATATTTATATTAATATTCTGTCTGTATATTAATAGTCTGTATATTAATATTACTGTACTACTTTTTTGAAATGAATAATAAACTGAAACTGAATTATATTCTGGTTTTTAGGCGTAACACCACAGCAGTTTTTACGCGGTACCGACCATCCAACCCAACGCTGCAGCCCTGGCGTTAGGCTCGGTTTGCCGTTCCTGACAATGAGCTGCCGTCGTCGCCGGCCAAAAGTGACCCGGAAGTGGCACGCGCAGTTAACTTGCTGAGTCAGAAACTTCCCAGCAAGGACTGTGAATAATAGATTTCAAATACTGAGTCGAATTCACCCGGCGTCCTCGTAACAAAGGGAGAAAACAATGCTCCCTAATACGAAATTTGAATGCAGTAGTGCGCGTTTTTATACGACAATAAAGGAAAGCGGGAAACAAAACATTTCAGAGGAGCACGCGTGTATTTACAGATACAGGGTACTCCTAATTTGAAGTTTTTAATATAGTAAAAAAGTGTTAGTTTTTTTATTACCTGGTAAAGTTTTGAGATAGTTATTTTTCATTTCTTTTTAGTTTCCTCCTCTGGCGTTGTTGCCGAGGCAAATTTTCGTTCCTTAATCTTATTATTACTTCTCGTGGATCGGGGAAGGTTTTATTTGTTGCGATCGCATTTACAGCTTTGCCCTTTTGGAGAAATCGTGACTTTCTCTTTGCTTAAGTTCGCGTATGTGCGCTTGCGCATTAGTTAGCACGTTGAATGACCTGATAAGTCGCCTTGTGATAGCATTATTTGCTTTTGCTTAGGCCAGATAGATTCAAGCATGCAAACCAAGCAGAAAGACGCATGCACGTGCGTGAACAACTTCTTTTAATAGAGCCCGGAATAAATCAATGAAGAGATATAGTTACCGAATCGCTAATGCCTCTGCGCTTATATTTTAGGTTGTGCATGCGAAAGATGGATTTATTGAATATTATGACGTCATCATGGCGTCATTTATAGGCGGCCACCAAGAGGGGCCGCGGCGGTAAAGGTTATTTATTGGGCGTGTTACTGTCCAGCAAAACATGAAGCTGTCACTGAAAAATGATAGCGGCAAAAACAATCAAACACACGATCTGCGGTTCTATGAGGCATAGAGTTTCCCAAAATTAACTAGAGGGCACTCTGGCGCTGCGATCGTTCAGCGACCATGGGAATTATGGGTAGTACACACATTTGCCTAGTCTTCGTACTTGTGGGTGGCGAATCGCACTTGCGGCTTCGTTTATTGCTTTGTTCCAGTTTTGTTTTGAAAGAAAGAACGAACCCTTTTGAACTTAGTGACTTGATTTGAAATGGTAAGCCTAAAAGAATAAGGTTACGAAGCGCGAATGGTGAACATTTGATAATTTATGTTTTCGTGAAAAAACAGCTCCAAGCCACACGAACACACACGGAGCCAAAAGCAGGCCAGAAGTACGAAGTTTAGACAAATGTGTGTACTACCCATCATTCCCATGCTCGCTGAAGCGCCGTGTGTTGCAGCTCCCATAGACTCTAGCGCCAGAGTTCCCTCTAGTGTATATTAAGAAACTCTATGCTATGAGGCACGGTATACAATCAGGCATAATCGCGCGCCCATACACATTTCAAAGTGTACAGGGGCCCGTAAAGTAAAACGGAGAACACGAGCTGTGGTCAAATTTGCAAATCTGCATACCAGTACGCTCTGTCGGAGAAGCGGTTATTGACTCATAAATAGAAATGATGTCTATATATTGTGTTTATAAATAAAAAAACCACTTCCCTGATAGACAACCCTGGCATCCGCGTTTGCATAGTTTGATCACAGCTAGTGTGCTCTGTTTGACATTGGGAGCACCTGCATATCCCACTGCTCGCGTAGTGCGAGAAGTGTGATTAGATTTATCGGAAGCACACGGGAAGCAGCCGCTGCATCAAGGTACGACTTGATGATGATATGTGGAGTTTAACGTCACAAAACCACCATATGATATTGAGAGACGCCGTAGTGAAGGGCTCCGGAAATTTCGACCACCTGGGGTTCTTTAACGTGCACCCAAATCTGAGTACACAGGCCTACAGCATTTTCGCCTCCATCGAAAATGCAGCCACCGCAGCCGGGATTCGATCCCGTGACCTGCGGGTCAGCAGCTGAGTACCTTAGCCACTAGATTACCGCCGCGGGGCATCAAGGTACGACTTGAACCGAGTGGTAACATCGAGTGGCACAGTTTTAGGCTGTAAAATTTGGTTATGAACAAAGAAAAAAAGAAAGAAAAAGAACAAGACAAAAACGAGGACGAGCATGCCGTTCGCTATGAACTGCACAAGGGAAAAAATTCGGCCTTGTTTGTAAGACAGTGGGCAATACTCCGTGCACTGTGAACTTATGCTGCTGAGTAGCATCTTGATGTTTCAGTCAACGAGGCACCTCCAGTATATAGAATTTTCAATTTGTGATCATGTTTCAATACTAATCTTTGCCGCCCTCTCTGCATTCCAATTTAAAGTGGCTGCAGAGCTCCACAAGGGAAGAAAAATAAATATTTGAGGATAAGTATTATTACACTGTAAAATATTCTTATACTGTTAGGGTGTTTTGTAGTCGCATAAACAGCAGCCTGTATTTACTGCAACGGAAGTGTTTAGGCGTGTGACAGTGAGTTACAACTACACACAGAAGGAGGAAAAAAAAATACCAAAATCTTTTGTATCGTTTCTGACCAGCAGGTATGCACAGAAATGTTCGATAAGAAAATTTGCAGAACTGCATATAAAAATTTAATTATCGTTCTTATCACGCAATCTATCGCAGCCATCACAATATTCTGTTTGCGAAGAAGAGCCAGCAAGCGACAAATTCGTATTGGTTTCTACATAAAACTAGATCGTACTCTTCAAACGTGAGCGTGTTAACCATTTGACAACAAACACTGATTAGGAAGACAAATAAGTGTAAGTATTCAAGGTATAATTTCTAGGCTACACCGCTTAAAAATACCCGTTTTAGCTCTGTCCAAAGCTACTTTCTTTCGGGGTGGGCTGTCTAAATGGTGTCACGAATTAGGCTGCAGCAGTCACGACGTCGGGGTGTCACGTTCAGGGCGCACGTGTATGATGGATGAAGTGCTCGTTCTAACATGTCGAGGACAATTCACTGAAACCATGTCCGTGCTCTCGTTTCTGTGATTACCCTCACAGTAGGAAGCGATTCTTCTACACAGTTTGTACGCTGGCGCTAAAGAAGAAAATACCGGCTCAGATATGTTTTTTTCCCGTAAAATGTAAAAGTGGGTGATGTGAAAGTTAGTAGTAAAAATGTCAATTGTGACATACTACAACCAGTCACTGGCACGCCCTTCCCCTCCCTGAATTTTTTTTAGTTTTGTATGTGCGTAACGCCCACTTACATATATATGTACGCACGAATATACATACAGGGTGGTTAATCTCCTTTCCGCCTAAAAAATTTCAGGGTACGCCCCTGCTGTTGATCAGAACATTCGCTGTGGTAGCCAAACATTTCGTCTATACCCTCATGACTGTACATGTTAATAAGCACGGTATACGTTTTTAAGCTGCACTAAACAGGAAGTATCCGTTGAAAAACGACATGTGAATATGTACAATGTTGTTAACATAACTGCAGGCTTATTCTTGGAGGTTCTGAGCCATTGGTGTGAAGTCCAGAAGTGCTTCATATTGGGCTAAACATGGAATAATGATGCGCTGCAGATGTACACAGATACGAATAACCAGAAGAGTGGGGCCGTGACATCGTTGCCCGTTTTGTGTTCTTGTTAAGCTCTAAACACATGTAGGTCCTCTCCGTATTGAGGGAAAGGGTGTGCCGCTAGACAAAGCTGCGCCCGCGCTCTCCATAGGGAGAGGGCACATACCACCGTGTACTGACGTGCTGGTAATCGTATACGTGCGGTAAGGGTTCTAGTCGTCTGTGCGCACCTCTGCAGCGCAACGTTACGCTTCCGTATTGACCTGAATGTTAATTTCGTTTTATGTGTTATTCCGCAGTACCCTGTACTAAAAACGAAAATGCATCTGAACAGATGCACAAAAAGAACACGGACCAGTTCTGACGGACTGTTAGCCTGGTGCCCCAGCATTCAGTCTTTCCCCCTCGTGGTGAAACAATGCAAAATCAATGCTGAGCTACCCCTGCAAGGATACGTTTCATTTTCGTGTTTTACTGATTCCTAAAAAGAGGGATCGACCACGTTTCTTTTTTCCACACCGCCTCCCAAAGAAGCTCGACAATTTGTAGAGTAGACCACGGCGATCACGTTTTCCGAATATTACAGCGCTGCGCACCGTGCAGATCCCCCCTTTCAAAAATGATTCCCGCACTCCTTTCACGTGCAGTGACGGCAAATCGCTCATCGGCGACTTGACGTAGCACGCAGTTTGTCGATTGGTCCAAACCAGTCATGATGAAGGGATACGCCTTCCCGCGAGGCCGCGTGAAAATTTAAAACCAACTGAAACCAACGTTGTAACCCTTGTAACTTCGCACGTATTTAAAAATTCTTGCGGCAGCATGTTCACAAAGCAAAAGTGCACATATTTTTCTTTATAACAATTTTTGGACCATGGGGCTGTTTACTGGACTTCTAAAGGGACACTAAAATCCAATAACAATTTACGTCAGAGTGAAAGCTCAATGTATGACATCTAGAACGACAATATTACCAACAACAATGCCCTACTGCCCTACTTACCGAGAAATTAAGGTAAGTGCACAAGAACACAAGCGCCGCAGTAGGACATTTTGAAAATGATCCCGATGACATCAGACGGACCGCCTACAAATAATCACTAGTAATCGATCTAACTGCACTAAATAAAGAACCTTTCGTGCATCAAGAGACGCAATAAAATGCTGCCCTTTTGTTTCTGTATGATTCATCTAAAAAAGAACCGCAGGACGTTACTATGGGGAATGGCGCGAGTTGTTCGAAAATTCAATTTTGCGTAGTTACACTAGACAGGTGGTGCCATCTCACGGGGCGCAGGTGAACCAAAAAACGTCTGCAGTCTCGAAGCCAATTATGGGAAATTTATCAATGGTCGTTGTTGCTGCTGTGGCTCCCGCTGCGTTTGGTCTGCTGCTACTGCGCAGTAAAGCCGGGCAACAATGTGCACGGCAACAGTGATGCGAGTCGGTCCGGTCAGTGCACATTTTGAAGCGGGTAATTTGAAGCGCGCTAATGCGATGCGGACCACTAAAACGTGATTTTATTACAAAATTGGCCCTTCTTTGGCACAAAAGTAACACTACGGGGTTTCTGGATCCCTAGTTCAATAATCAATGTAGACTTGAAAGTTGCATTTAGTATCCTTTTAACGAATGCAGAGTTTCACGTCGACAAAACAACACTTACTTGTTACAGCGAAACATCCTATCATTCGCATCTTGATTGCTGGTGCGATTACGGCTGCGTTAATTCGTTCAAAGTGTATTTATTGAGCGCGTGCCAAGTATCCCAGAGAAATGCGAAAAGTGACATAACTGAGTGCACGTCACACACATGCAGGACACAACTGTGTTCGTCTGAATCATGAAACGTGTTTGATCATTTTTACGACAGTGCGATGGACTTCAAGAAGGAGGATGTCCACGACGCCTTTCTGGTGAAGTACAGAAGCCTAGGCAAGATCACGTAAGTCGACAGAGCTGAGAATCATTATTACAGTGTATTGGTACAAATACAGAATTTAGTATGCTTTCCTTTATATGCAATTATATTATGTACGTCCCCAATTAGCGAGCATCGAGCTTTAATTCATTACTAGGCATCGTATTCTGTAATGTAGGTGTTCTCCTATTCTTTGGTGCTATATGCATCATAATAATATAATTTCACATAGTTATTAGTTGAAATAAAATGTAAATAGTTGGCAATTATTTATGTATTTATTTATTTATTTAGACATTCCTCACAAATCCAACATCGTCACAGTTCACTATTTTAAACGAGTGAGAAATTTTCCCTGTCGGCTCTCCAGTCATGCAGAGTCATGAAAATGCGGGGTTGGCATCTGTGGCATTGGCTGTTAGCAAAAAATCGGTATTTTCTGCGAGTGAAAGATGCCGATGAATGAAGGGAATAAAAATAAGGACTCGAGAAAGAATGAAATATTGGTGTTTATTTATTTACATAGATATACCCTACAGTCCCCCAACGAGGCATAGGGTGAAGGGAGCATATATGGTACAATTCATTATATATATAATAACCTGGACGATGCTTGGGTATTGGCAAGTTCTTCAATATATGCAATGGCAATGTGTCTCGTAAGGTGGCGATATTCGTCGCTGAACTTCGTGATTAGGAGATGAGCATGTTTCTTGCTAGGCCGAACGATTCCTTGGGCAACGCAGATTTGTCGTGAAATAAGGAGAGACGAATTGGCCTCCACATTGATTGTGTCAGACACGTCCTGTCCCAATTCTACCTTGGCAAAGAGGCTGTTTCGAGGCGGGAGAGTTGTAGAATCGTCAGTAACACGGAGCGCTCTCTTCGAGAGTTGCGTACCGTCAGTTGCAGCACTAAAAGTATCCTAGAACGATACAAGTAATTCACGGGGGTCGATGACTCAGCCGTATTCCCGAAGAAAGTCTATTCCCAGGATGATTGGCCGAGAACAAACGTGCAACACGAGGAAGGACCCCGTAAATTTCGACGTACGAATTTGAATGTGCGCCGTGCACATACCAGTAGGACTCACCAGATGACCACCTGCCGCGTGCAACTGGGGTCCTTGCCACGGTGTTGTAACCTTCTTCAGTTCAGATGCCATTACGGCGCTCATCACGGAATAGTCGGTGCCGGTGTCGACGAGGGCGTCGACAGTATGATTGTCGACGAAAACGGTGATTTCGGCAGAAAATATCTTTCTGCTGTCGGGGATCACCGAAAAACCGGAATGCTCGTCGTCGGGTCGTTGCGTCGAAGGAGTGTTTTTAACAGTTCACCTGACCGTGACTTCACCCCCAGAAGTGTCCTGGACGGGGGGCATAGCCTGGTACATTGTCCGCATAGCGCGACCTGTAGCCGATGGCGCAGGGGATCGCAATGCCGCCGCATATGTGAGGATTGAGGCGTCGGTTGGTGCCAGGGATGTGACTGCCTGCCTGGAATTCTTGTCTGATTACATCCACGATGTCTGGCACATGTGGACGGGATTCCACTGCCTGAAGCTGTCACAATTCACCCCACACGATACTTCGAATGATGTCTGCGAGAGCCTGTTTCTGGCTGTCAGATCCGATAGAGCATGCGGTGACTGGGATGTGGCATTCGTATTGTGACGACCGCTGCTGCAGAGTACGCTCCACCAAAGATGCCTCACAGATTAACTCGGTGACAGTCGTCGGTGGATAGCACACGAGTCCAGCGAAAAGCTGTTCTTTTACACCCCTCATCAAATGCCGTACCTTCTTTTCTTCCGACATGGCAGGGTCGACACGCCTGAAGAGCCGAAGCATGTCCTCGGCAAACATGGCAACGCGTTCATTCGGTCACTGGTTCCTGCAAGATATGGCTTGTTCACCCCTCTCCTTTCTTTCGGCGTTGTGGTAGGAGTTTAGTAGGCGTCGCGGAGCTGCCGGCTAAACTCTTGCCATGTCGCAAAGGAGCCCTCGTGGTTCTCGTACATGTCTTCGCAGAAACTTCAAAGTACAAGTAAAGCCTGCGCAGCTTGCGAACATCTTCCCATTCGTTGATACCGGCAACCCGATCAAAGTGGCTGAGCCAGTCATTAACATTCTCGAAGATATCTCCATGGAACGGTTTTGTTGTCTGTGGCGCATGAGAAATATGCGCGATAGGAGAACCACGAGAATCGCTGGTTTGGACCGCCTGGCTTGTCGTCGGCACTGTCATCTTTCTGGGTGTCGGTGCCAAGGGAGCAAATTCAGGGGGTAACTCACGCAGGCGGCGGCTGCTTCTTGCTCTGGGAGATGTAGTTGTCTCCAAAATGGCTGACACCACCGAAGTACACGTACTTCTCTACCAGTAATGTCGCGAACAAAACAGGACCGACAGCCAGGAGTTGACTGGAACTAGAGCAACAAAACGTTCTCTTCTTTTGGAGAGCCAAAACGAGTATGACCTACAGCGCTCGTTCTTCAAGGGTGGCATGCGTTAATATAGTAGAAGGGCTAAAAATTGTCACATAGCAAAGAAATATCCGCGTCACAGGCTGACAAAGATGTTAAAAGAAAAGTAACAGCAAAAAGAATAACAGATAAGCAAAAATCATTAATTACACAGCATGACAGCGCGATTGCGTCATTATACAATATTTTATGCAAGCACGTGAGTTAACACAAGCATGTGAGTGTAAAATGAAACAAACAAACAAACGTAGCCTTATCAGAAAAAGAAGAAAACAAATAGCGTAGCAGTTAAGTATTCGACAACATAGCTACTCCAACACTTGATGCTGTTCCGAAAAAAGAGCCTACACACAGTCATCATGCCGTGCAAGGAGTCATGTCAGCATATTTAACATTGCATAGAGGAAACGTAAATCGCGCGAGGCGTCACACCATGTGAATTACGTAATGAGTGGTTGTTTCAAAGCTTCCAACCTGTTACAAAGGACAGAGCTATGATTCATCATCATCAACCATGCACAACGACAACTTAGTGCACAGCTACGTAAGTGCACGCAATGCCTTGTACAGACGCTGAGCGCATACTTCGCAATCTGATAATAGTATCTTGTTGCACTCTTGAAGTCGAAGCCTGAGTGTCCTCCGTATTTTCTTGAATATGCGATTGTGGCTCGCATTTGCCATAATTATAATATGAACAATACCTAGTGAGTGAATGAGTGAGTGAAACAACTTTAATGTCGATCCGGCATACAGGGGGAAGAGGTAGGGAAATTAAAGCAAGACTTTAGCACGCTCGGACGTCCCAGAGCAGCAACCTACTCGCGTCAAACCCGTGGGGGCGCTGTTTTCAGCCGCTGGCGTTGCAGGATGCCAAGCATGAAGGAAAAAAAAAGAGAGGAGGGAGCACTACGTCACAAGAGTGAAGCCCACCTTGTCGGCCCAACACGTGATCTAAACGTCAGAGCTTGCGGTAGCTTTTAGTACTCTCGCTGCTGTTCCGCCTTTGAACCACCTGCGTGAACCGACCTGGTCCGCGCTCAACCAGCTCGTTTCGATTAAAAGCTACCTGGCGCCGTACTCCGAAGTATCGGCAAATCTCGCTGCTGGCGCGATTTTGCGCAAAAACGTCACGTGTTGGGCCGACTTTGATGGCTTTAAAACGGGTTGGCTTGCCAAGGCTGGGTGCTTGACGTCATGCTCCCTCCTGTGTGTTTCCTTCCTCCATGATGCCAAGCACGTGCCGGACCACGTCTCTTTGGTTGCTCTTGGCTCATGATTTTGCTGCTGATGGCAGTTGGCATTGCTTCTTGGTTACTCGGTAGTGGCGCACAATCCCAGAGGAGGTGTTTCTGGGTGGCTCGCGCCTTCTTGCAGTATTGGCATATATCTGTGGAGTATACCTCCGGGAACACGTACTTTGCCCAGGACTCTGCGTCTCGTACTCTGCGTGTGGACCCCCGTCTGGACCCCCGTCCAGACGGGGGTCCATATGGCTTATACTTGCAACTGCCGTGTGTGGCTGCTTCGCTGCGTTGTAGGTCTCGGTGAGGCGTGTGCTCGTTCTGTACCACTGCAGAACGTCGCCGTATACGTTGTGATGAAATACTCTTCGTCTTCGGAATCGAATCGTTCCGGCTCCGAGGAATGTGTTGATGAAGACCAGCGGCTAGTTAGTGCATGAGCCGCCGCATCTGCTTCCTCGTCGTGGTTCGGGCCCGCGTTCAGCTCCCCAGCATGCGCAGAGAACCACTTGACGGTATCGTTGGTTCCGGTCTTGCTATCGTTGAACATATCCTTGCGGTAATTCCATATGCGTTTGTAGCAAGGTTGACTGTTGCCGGCTTCGACTCACTGAGGACCGTGCAACAATCCGGGATCGCCAGTGCCAGTGCGATTGCTAAGTCCTCGGCTTGCGTGGGCGACTTTCATCGTATGCTTCCCGACACTGCGAGTACAACACCTAGGATTTTACGAGGCAAGACCACATTATGATGAGGGGGACCACGGTAGTGGAGGGCTCCGAAAATTTCGCTCACCCAGGGGTTGCGGTCTTGAAGACTATATTCGAAGTGCATATACTTCAAGTGCCAATCAATCAATCAATCAATCAATCAATCAATCAATCAATCAATCAATCAATCAATCAATCAATCAATCAATCAATCAATCAATCAATCAATCAATCAATCAATCAATCAATCAATCAATCAATCAATAAATAAATCAATCAATCAATCAATCAATCAAATCTATATAGCAGTCACATTACAGTCACCAGCCTGACGTCGAGGAGCTTTTGGCTCAGCAATACGTGTGACATGGCTCTGTCAATCTGTTAGTTCATTTTCAGTCATACGCTGCGCTATTTTTCATAACTCACGACGGTGGTCTACTGGTTATAGTGCTCGGCTGCTGACCCAAAGGTAGTGGGATCGAATGCTGGCTGCGACCGCTACACACTTCGATGAAGGCGATATGCTTGAGGCCTCTGAGCTTAAATATAGGTGCACGTTAAAGGAAACCAGATGGTCAAAA